AAAAAGTCCATATCTGTTTTCAGAATTAAACATGCTTGAACACCAATCTTTCATTCAAAAAGCAACATCAGAAAAGCCTTGTAAATCTGACTTCATGATTGAGTTCACTCCACACAAGGACTCTGTGTCTTCACGTTCCCCAACAGACCTTTATTTTCTCTCAGGGCCATGCAGCCTGTGGAGAACAAACGGGTGGGGGGAGGGGTGTCTCTCTAGCATGAAGTTAAATCCCAGCATGTTTTAAATGGTAATCCTGGATAAATCCTCAGTTGGCTGATGACCAAACATTCATCAACAGCACAACTGGTTTTGTAAAATGTCTAAGCAGAGGACTTCACTCAGAGTAAAACAAGAAAATCTATTCTGATTTTTTTTTTCTGCTTTAAAAAAATGTGGGACCCCCCCGTCAAGCACCCCCCCACTTTACTTGACTGTTCCGTGCCTGACTCTTCTCAACTGAATTCACTGTCCAACTCCACATATGAAACCTCCAAGCACCTCATCTGTATGTTCATGGCGTCTTTAAGAGGCGGAAATACTTTAAGGGGCAGCTCATACGCTCGTAAGTGGCTGTTGTGTTTAAAATTAGTGTTTATATAATTATTTTCAGTTTACAAATCCAATATAAATTTTATTTGTTCAAGGCAGTCGTATTTGTTCATAACTTTATTATTAGTAAGTCTGAGAGTTACTGGATTCAAACAAACAGTTACTGGAACTCACCCAGTCAAAATAATAGTTCCCGGATCCTGTTCCAGCAGGATCTGACTCAAATTAAGCCCTGATAATAATACAGTCTTTAATCTCCACCCTGATTATATTATTTTTAATGGACTGGACTAAATAAAAAAGATAGTTGTTAATCCACACAATAGATAATCTTTTATAAAAGTTGGGGTTTTCCGGACCTAGAGATTTGCCTCAGTTTTTGGGTTTCCTGGTGTTTAAGTTGTGATTTGTTTTACGTTTCAGTTACAGTGTTTATTTCTGCCAGAGTCTTTTCAGTTTATTAGATATTTGTACTCATTTGTTCATCTGTTGCCTGGCAGATTTTGGGCTTTAGTTCTTAGTTTTCATGACTTCCATGTTTGCCCAGTTTCCCGTGTTCTTCGTTTTATTGGCGTTTGACAAACCAGCCTGTGCCCTTTCACACACACCTGTCATTAATCAGTAATCTTCTCAGCTGCTCTGGCTCAGTAATTAACTCTCACTGGATCAACTGTACTCAGTTCCTGCTCATGGCTGGATCCACAAGTTCTGTTCTTGTTCAGGCATGGCTTCTTTTCTTGTTTTATTACACCTGTTTGATTTGCTGTTTAAGTCACATCTTTTTATTTTCACTTACCTGTTTTTTTTCTTTTCTTTTAATAATTAATTTTGGAGTTTTGCCCACCTGCCTGAACTCTAGGGTCCTCAGCAACCTCACCATTAAACATTAATTAAACTTGTCTAATGGAAGAAGTCATTGTACTGGATCTGCTGTCTGAACTGTCCAGTTTGTTTAACTGGTCCATGTTGAAGTTCAGGCAAAACAGGAAAATAAAAAAAGAGAGAAACAATCATGAAAATTAATGGTTTCATTTCTTTGAGCTACAAAGATATGCTTTGCTCTGAGAACTTTTTTATTTTTATTTTTTTAAGCAAATGATGAACAAAAAAAAAAACTTTAAATACCATAAAGAGGCAAAAAGCCTTGGAAATACAACAAACCTCACATTTAAATTCCATTAAATTATGTCTGTTTCAGTCTTATGTATGATGAAATATTAAAATGTATACTTGGATAACTACAAAAGGTAAGTTCATAATTGTCCATAGTTTTTTTTTTTCCAATGAACCCTTCTTCCAAAAAAATAAAAAAATCTTACTGTTTTTAATGTTGATGACAGGAAGCTTTAGTGGTCCAAATGGTGAAAACAAAAAGAAGACAGGAGAAAAAAATCTTGATGGTGGTTAAGAAGTTGGTGCCAAGAGGAAGTGACACCAGTGATGCCATTCAGGAACTGAGTTGGCTTTGACCCATTTTCCCTCCATCTTTCCGGTTCTTTGTACTTTGCTCGCTCTTTCTGTGTGCTTGTGTGTGTTGGGTGGGGGTGGGGGTGGGGGGGATCATGTAAGTGTGTGTGTGTTGATTACACAGACTGCTGAAGGGAACAGTGGAAGGTTTGCAACATGTAGTTTTTGTAGAGCTTACATCAGCATCTGTCAGGCTACATTAAGAACATTTGGGCCAACTTTGGATTCCCCCCCCCCCCCCCCGCCCCCCGACACCTACACTGAAATTATTTGACTGAAGGATGTTAAGTAACTTGTAAAGCATGTGAGTGTGCAGTGAGATTAAGATGAGTGGGTGAAAGCACGTGTACCAGACGCAGACACAAGAGAGAATAAATGTGTACGTGCCTGACGGAAAGCTCGAGGCCGGATTAGATTCAATCTCTGCTTTGGGAAGAATTAACTTTGGAAATAAAATTCCAATTCCTTTACGTTTCCTCGGCAACCTCTTAGGGACTCAGCAAAAGAAGTGGTTGAAGCACTGCTTTGTATTTCGCTCATTCGCAGTTTGATGCACACACACACACTGATCATGTGCTACCACATATCAGTTTCAAAATGATTTCATGAACAAGTTCAACTTGAGCTACTTCCTGCACATTTCAAAGTAAAACATCTAGTTCATCTGTAACGTTGAGCCCCAGGACCACACAACTCTTCAGCAGGTCATGTAGAATCATTGTTACATAATAAAAATCACTTCTTTTATTTAGGTGAATTATAAAATGATCTTTTTGTGTGGGAACAACTTCTATTCTGGCTTAATAATCTAGATCATCTTAATTCATCACTATCTCTTTTCCAAATTAGATTAATATCTTAGTTCTTGTCAGAACGTATTTTGATTTTTTTAAATGAAGGAATAAGCAATAAAGCAAATGCAGGTACATCAAAAAAATTTGAAAATGTTCAAAAAATTCTGTCGATAATTTCATAAAGTGAAACTCATAGATCAGAGTGGAATATTGCAAGCATTTATTTCTTGGAATTGTGATGATTATGGTGTACAAATAATGAAAATCCAAAACTCATTGTCACAGAAAAGTAGAATATTGTGATAAAGTTCCATATTGGAAACTCGTGCACTTTGTGCACTATGCACAAACGTATCCAGTAGGTAATGCTGCTTTCAGTCCAACAACCCCCTGAACCAGAGACAATGTCAGAAGTGTTTTACCTGGACTGACTTCAGAAAACACAGTGGACCAACACCAGCAGAGGACACGGCACCAAACCATCACTGAGTGTGGAAACTTCACTCTGGACTTGAAGCAACATGGAATCGGTTCCTCTCCACTCTTCAACCAAACTCTTGGACCTTGATTTCTAAACGACATGCAGAATTTACTTTAATCTGAAAAGAGGACGTTAGACCACTGAGCAACAATCCAGTTCTTTTACTCCTCCACAGGTAAGATACTTCTGATGTCTCTGTTTCAGGCGTGACTTGACTTGAGGAATGTAACATTTGTAGTCCATGTTTATATTTGTCTGTGCATAGAGTGCATGAGTTTCTAACATGGAACTTAAGCACAATATTCAATTATTATTATTTTTTTATTATTTGTAAACCACAATCGTTAAAATTACTACAACAAAAAAAAGGGGCTTGCAATGGTTTACTATTTGTAATTTTTCTCTTTCTGAAGTGACTGATAAAAAAATATTGAACTTTTTCCTGATATTTTAATTTTTTTGATGAAAAATATTGAACTTTTTAAAATATTCTAAATTTTTGATAAAAATATTGAACTTTTTCATGATATTTTAATTTTTTTATTAAAAAAAATGAACTTTTTCATGCTATTCTATTTTTTAATTAAAAATTTTGAACTTTCATAATATTTAAAATTTTAATAAAAACTATTGAACTTTTTCATAGTATTCTAAAAAAAAAGATTAAAAAAATTGAACTTTTTCATGATATTTTAATTTAAAAAAATTGAACTTTTTAATGACATTCTAATTTTTTATAAAAAAAATATTGGATTTCATAATATTTTATTTTTTTGACTAAAAAAAATATAGAATTTTTTCACAATATTCTAAAAAAAAAATTATAAAAAATATTGAACTTTCATAATATTTTTTTAATAAAAATATATAACTTTTTCATAATATTTAAAATTTCTTCATGATAAATATTTTTGTAAATGAGAATCTTAACACATCAAATCAACTGCAAACATTTGTGCATCACGTCTCTAAAACAAATCATGTGTTAAAGTTGGAATTAAATCGTGCAGATGCTGTAAACGCAGATTCTGTGCGCTTTAATGCTGAGCTAAGTTTTACGACGCTCATTACGCGACGCGCGCTCACTGATGAGTGCCACGCGGACGCGCACAGTAGAAATCCTTGAACTGAACGCGTCAGGACTTCATTCACCACCGAACCTGTCCGCGCTGCGCAGAGGAGTTCTTCTCTCCCTCGTCTGGTTTGTTCATGGTGGAGCACCAAATCCAAACAAGACAGGTGGAAGAAACTTTTTTTTTTTTTTTTTTTTTTTAACTGAGTCACGGTGAGGACGGAATATTGGATTACTGGATGCGTTAAAATGTCAGACTTCTTCCATCAGCACCTGCTCTTCTGATGCCAAAACAAACAGCTGAACGTGAAATTGAGCTCAACTTTATGGGAAGTTCTTCATTATTCAAATGGCTGTGAAATACTGAGATTCTAGAAACCTGGGAGTTGTTTTCATTTTGGGAAAACTCACCCGGTTGTCACTTAATTGGAGTTTAAACTGGATTCACGAGACGGCCCTTTTACGCACAGGATTTATAACATTTATCGTTTTATGGACGCATTCATTGAAGCTGGCAACGTGGTTTATTCTTCCAAGGGATGGTTCTAGGCTCTGAAGCCCAGCAGGGAGCGACAGCCTGGCTCCTTCGTAGAAGTTTCGCCCCATCCTGGTGCCGATGCAGCGGACCTGAGAGGACATGAAAGCCGCGGTCTACCACCTCCTCGCTGGATTCTTATGCCTGTCACGCACAGCTGCTGAGGTGAGCAGAGTGGAATTATTCTGGGATTAGATTTTTCTACCACGTTTAGTTTTATGTCAAAGTAAACTAGGTTTGAGGAAACCTTTGTTATTTTACCGTTCAGAGTTACGTCGCCAATCACATCGCGTCATTACGCACAAAACATTTAAAGTTTTATCAACTTTAAAATAATAAAAGATTTGTGCATTGTTAATGTTTTGTGCTTTGCACGCATCCGTAGTGTTTTATTTGCTCTGTTAAACTTGTAACATTCTTTCAGGAGTCTCCTCTCCCCCAGGAGCTGCTGGAGCGGCTCGCCCACAGCCACATCCGCAGCATCAGTGACCTCCAGCGGCTGCTAGAAATAGACTCCGTAGGTAAAGCACTTCATTATGGCAGCTCCCACTCATACACGCTGGGCTGGTGCTCCTAAAGGGAGAAAACCTGGAAATACAGGGAGAGCACCAAACTGGTCAACCAGTTTGCTAGTGACAGCCAAAACTAGTTGTTCACATGCAACAGGAGGATCATCAGCCTAACAATGGATCATTAGAGCACTAATGATTGATCGTTAGTGCCCTGATGGTCACGTGCTATTCACAGGGGTCTGAGTGATACTAGCAATAACAGCATTGTAAGAGATGAACAGTGAAACATGGAGGCTTCCACCCGTTTAACAATGGACAGGTTCGCTTCACAAAAATGGCCTCCTTCACTCCTCTCTCAAACCATCATTCCTCTCTGTCCAGGATGTGAACATCTTCATCCCTGAACGAGTGACCGCTGGCCTGGAGATGAGTGTAGACTGCAGAGTCCTGGCCTGATTATGTTGCTCTTATGTGCTGGGCACATCCTTTTGGCCAGTGGCTGTTTAGTTTCCCCTTGTACTCCAGCAGGTGATGGGAGTCAAACTGCAAATACTGGTCTGTGTGGGTGGGTTTGTGGTGCACCTCAGTTTACAAATGTCCTCCATCAGAAACTGAGATCTCACAGTCCAAGAAAGCCAACCTGCCATTTTTTACATCTTCCCGCACATTTTACTGACCACAGAGTTGATGTGGTCAGTAAAATGTTGGACTTCCTGAGATTTGATTTGAACCCAGGTGTCGTCAAAGGACATCAAGGCTCTCTTCTCTACCTTCTCCATGTACACGTTGGCAACAATAGGAGAAACTGGAGACCCCATAGCACACCCATGTTTCTGTCTATAATATTGCTCCCCATATGTGAAGTAGGTTGACTGCAGGCACAGTTTCAAGAGTTGACACAGTTGTTCTGTGGAAAGCGTGGTCCTGCTGCTCAGAGTGGTGTCTGATTTTAATTTTAAACTGACCACCTCTACTGCATCATCAACAGGAATGCACGTAAAGAGTGACGTGACATCAAAAGAGACCATTGTTTCATCAGTCTCCATGATGACATCCCTCACCTTATCCACAAAGTCCATGGTGTTCTGTATGTGGTGTTCTGAGCTGCCAACTAAAGGGATGAGTACAGACACCAGATATTTGGAAACATAATTTGTGAGGGACAGAGTTTGTCCCGAGGACCTGACTTAACCTTGTTAGTTGACAGAGTTAATCATGCTTTTGGTTCAATCATGCAAACACTCGGTCTTAAAGGTAATTGGTACATAAATGGACTGTGCTTATATATCACCTTTCTATCTAATCAAGATACTCAAAGCTCTTTACACTATATTCTGTGTCCTCATTTACCCACTCAAACAGCACTGTACTAGATATCTACTAAGCTAATCTGTAGAGACTAATCGAGTTTTAGATTACATTCATACACTGATGGGACACACATCAGAGGCAATGTGGGGTTCAGTGTCTTGCCCAGGGACACTTCAACATGTGATTGCTGGTGGAATCAAATCCCCAACTCTCCCATTGGAGGACAACTGATCTAACCACTCAGCCACAGCCGCCCCAAGATACACCTTGTTTGTGAATTTTTGGTTAAACCATACACACTAGGCATGGCCACCCCTGGGTACAGAATACAGTCTGTACCCAGGAGCCTTGTCCTGCTCCAAATGTTTCAGGCACTCTACCAACTTCTTGTAGCCACTTCCTGGATCTCTTTTCAGCGCTCATAAGCATTTAAGTCACTAAGGAGCAATTTTTTCCTCTAATTTTTCATGTGTCTGGGCAAACACACACAAGCTCCCTGAGTGCATTGAGAACCACTGTGAGCAACATCATATATGCACGCTGTATGAGTATCACACCTGTTCAAAACCTGGGATCATAGCAAGTTACATGGCTTATTAAAAGAATCAAATTCCAGCAGCAATTTCTATTAGTTTACTTTTAATATAAGTGATTTGATCCACTTCAAATGAAAAATACAATAATCTTCTTGTTCATGAGATGTGTTTATGTTAAATGTGAGGGTCCTGCTTTGGTCTGGGTGAGGGTCCTGCTCTGGAAGATGGTTAGCAACACGGTGGACATTGGTGTCAGAAGCATGTTTGTAATGTAGGAGGACACATTGTTGGGGGAGGTCTGGGGGTTCTCCCCTAGAAAAATTTGAATAGATGCCATTTCCTGCATTCTGGTGTATTTTAACAGGTTGTTAAACATCTAGTTTTACCTACACAAGTAAACACTTGATTCAATAACTATTTTAGAGTTAATGGCACAACAAGACCTTCCTGACCAACAGCTCTCCTTGTGTGAATAGAGCAAGCTCCACTTCTCTCACACATCCTCGTGACAGTCTAAGAAACATAATGTAGCCTAAGTTAAGTTTTAGGTGAAAAAAAATACTAGCCAATATGAAATAATAATAATCACTCCTTCTTATCAATGGCCTAGCATAAAGCAATATGATCATCATCCTTCATGTTTATTAGTAGCATAAAATACCTAATTAAAATTCTGGGGCTAGGTCTACTGTAATTTTACCTAGTTGCAGGGTCAAGAGACAACATGTAGCATTAACACAGTATGAACAACATTCAGGGATTGTTTCTATAAGAATATTATCAAATATTTTACGTGAACGGTAAGATCACTCAACCCACGAGGAAATGTAACACAGAGTGAACTAACCTTGGACAAACTAACAAACAAAGATAGCTGTAATGGTGGAGGTAGTGAAGCTCACGGTGTTACCTGAGGCATTTAATGAGGCATTTATTTCTTATCGACCAACATTAAGGCAAAGAAGACGGGGAAAAAAAATCTAAGCTACTAATAATTTAAAATAGTTACTGCAGTGGGAGTTTTCTTGCTGCAGAGCGACACAGGGCAAGAACTCAGTGAAAATAACTAAGAGTCAATTTTACATTACACAACCTATTAAACTTCTTCTTTCAGCTTTTCCCTCTTCAGGGGTCACCACAGTGAGTCATCCTCCTCCATTTCACTATGTCCTCTTCATCCTCTGTCCTCACTTCATCTACCTCCATGTCCTCTCTAACTGTATTATCTCCTCTTTGTATTTTTCCTGGCAGCTGCGAAATTTCTAACATCCTTCTACCAATATAACCACTGTTCCTCCTCTGGACATGTCCAAACCATCTCAGTCTGGCCTCTCTAACTTTATCTCCCAGTTGTTCAACCTGTGCTGTACCTCTGATGATCTCATTCCTAATCTTATCCAGCCTCGTCACTCCTCAACGTCTTGGGATTGTCTTATTTACCAACTTTGTTTGACGTTGTACAACCATAAACTTCTGTGATAAATCCACAACACCAAATATTACTCCTCGGTATGCGATGAAATATGCAGTATAAAGCTTGGAAAATGTTAGAAGACAAACAGGTTGCTTGTAGCTATTTAGCTTCTTCGCATGTCAGCGCCGAAACTCCAGAAGACGCTGATTGGCTGGAATAACAGTTTGCCTGTGATTTCATTGGGTTAATTTTTTTTTTACCTTTTCATAAACTTCTGTTGTCGCCACTCAAATCATGTGACACGTTTGTTTTGACCAGAGGGGGTTTTCTTCCCTGCACTGTGCATGCATTCATGCGCTGCATACAAACAGTTTGTAGGGACCACTGCACTCGGGCTGACACTTTATTTTAAAGTGGGAGATAACCAGATATTTTGCTTGGGCATTTGCCCAGTTGCCCATATGGTTAATCCGGCCTTGTGGACAGTTCGCAACTGCGCAGCATAGACTTTCTTGCGCGCAGAGAATGTGCAAGCAGTGCGCAATTGGACAGACAGCTTAGAGAGAACATAGCTAAGGAGTGTCATAACTTTCTCATGATAGTCTTTCTGCGTCAAAATCATCTATCTATCTATCTATCTATCTATCTATCTATCTATCTATCTATCTATCTATCTATCTATCTATCTATCTATCTATCTATCTATCTATCTATCTATCTATCTATCTATCTATCTATCTATCTATCTATCTATCTATCTATCTATCTAATCTAATGTGAATGCAAAATAGTTAAACAAACAAAAATAGCACAAACCTCTTCCGGCATGTCATTCCAAAGCTAACTATCGTTGAGTGTTTCAACACTTTTGAGTCCAAGTCTAAAACTTGGAACAATGATAGTAGAGACATCTGAGGGTCCCAAGGAGCTGGAGGGGACCTAATGTCAGATATATGGCTTGGGGAGAGGCCTTCTTTGGGTTTGGGCAGATGTTTATGGGGAGCAAATTGAGCAAAAGCTAAGACTTCAAATAAACTCCCAACACCATTTGCTATAATAAATTATTGGAAAGGGAAAGAGACGTTCAGAATGAAAGAATCAAAAGTGACTTATACATCTTTATAGCTTTATTAACCTCAGTGTGGGTCCCAATCTATTAAAGTCTCTGGTTGACAACATATACTGCAGATTTATGTCTGCTGCAGGGTTCTGCATTAACTAGTCTGTTCCTAGAAATATCCTGTTTCAAAGTATAAGTTGCATCTGTCATAAATCAGAGTAGGAAGATATTGCATTATTCCATCACTAGGATGCTTTCCTAGAAGTTTCAGGAGGTAATTTTTTAACTTGAGAATTCAACTAATAAATCTAGGGGTGTCCTGATCAAGACTTTTGATCCCCCAGTATTGACACCAAGTAATTTAAAAATAAGTATCAGACAATACCAAGACCAATCTGACATTTTTGGAATTAAAATCTTTACAACACAGAATTACAGACAACACACCATGTGCATTAAAGTTGTGGAAGTCCGTGCCATCTTGTGCTATCAGTAGCTCTACATAAAGAAAACCTGCATTCTTGTTGTTCCTCAAGTTTTTTTATTTATTTTATATTATCAACAAGGGAAAATGCATCCCAGGTGATGGCAGACGTTTGGAACAGCTTGTGCAGTGGTGTGTTAGTTATGTAGGATTGGGAGGATACATAGTGGTGTAGTCTACATGATACACGGGTATACGGAGTATACCCACTAGAAAAGCTTGAGAATTTCAGTATACCCATTTAAAAGTGCCCAGTGATACATGACATATCAATAGGCACGTGTCATTGATACGTTAAACGGCAGCTAAATGCTTCTGTAACAATCTACCTGTATGCATCACTTGTTTATTACATTCACTTATCCAGAAAATTATTGTATAGCTAATACTTCTGTAATTACTACTTAATACTTGAACATGTTTTGCTTTGATACTGTTTTATAAATTCTGCAATGTTTTTAATATAAAGCCAACAGTTGTACAAAGTGTGTTGTACATTTATTCAAATACAATCATTTTAATCACTTGTATTATCTGATTGTATGATTGTTTTTTACACAACTTTTATTATGTGACTTTTAATCATTTTAATATTTTTTTATTATCTGTCTGTATGATTGTTTTGTTGTGTGTACAGCACTTTGGTCCTGTAGGTGTTTAAAGTGCTCTATAAATAAATCTGGTATGATATGGTAAATATAAGCATCAGAGAAATTTGAAAATGTTCAATATGCTTAAAAATCAAAATGAATTGACGATTGCATTGAACTAACCAGTGTACTTTGGTTTCTGAGCGCAGTATACCCACTACAAAAATGTAGACTACACCACTGGAGGATAGGACATGCATGGCTCCAACAGCTTGAAAAGGCAACAGAAATCTATTCTGGTTACCCTGCATGGTAAATTATGTTACATGTATCATAACCGTTTCTGACTGTCAGTGTCCAGTGGAAACTTGTTTCTTTTCTTTAGAGTTTCCTCTAAAGTGTGTTACTTAGCCGAGTTAGCGTGAACTCTGTGTACCCTGCTTGGATTTTAAAAGTCTAAATAAATTGGTGGCATTTTGTACCCCCACGCAGAGACTGTTGGATATGGTCACCAGCAAGAAGTGGTTAAAGATAATGGATGGATGTAGCTTTATCACAACTGTCACAAGAAATACCCAAATCGGAAATATTTCAAGTAGCTACTAAACTGCTCATAACACTCCTTTGGTAAACTCTGGTGCCAGTTGTGCTGGTCTTGCTAATAAATCAGAGCTGATTAATTGACTGAGGTGAGACAGGATGAAATACCTGTCGTAAACCAGGCCTCTGCACCTTCACCTAACTTTGAGCCGCTCAGATCCTCTCGATGCTTGCAATACATGGCGATCCTTTACTTTTTTTCCTTCTACAGTTCAGAGTGGTGCCACCATTAATCCTGGCATCATTGAGATGCAAATGCCGAGTGTGACAGCTCCCCAGTTTGATGGGGGTCAAGTGGCTCACTTCATTATACTGTTGTCATGCTGCCCATTATTGCTTTGAGGGGAGGGCCCGCTGGAAGGCTGCTCTGCTGCGATATATAATTCATGCTCAAATTCCTACACGTCAAGGGGCTCACGGACGCAGGGGGGAGATGTCGGAGGTGGACTTTGTTGTGTCATCAGCACACTGTGCGTGTATGGCCGCTTGCAAACAAATGTAACAAATACAATAACAAATGTCAGAACTAAACAAAAGGAACGTTATATTTCTGTTTATGGGACAAATCTGTGGAACAGTCTGTCTAAAGAAACCAAAGAGAGTAGCTCTAGTTTTACTTTTAAGAAAATAAAATATATATATTTTTTCTAGGTACAATGAAGTATATTGATTCAGATGTATCATAACAAACGGCTCTTATAAATTAGCCTGGTGATACGGAGACATCTGTTTAA